AGTCCGTGTGTGTGTGTGTGTGTGTGTGTGTGTGTGTGTGTGTGTGTGTGTGTGTGTACTTTCTCTGGTGTAACGCCAGGTGCCCTGTCCCTAGTTCTCTTTGATGCAGTACTCCGATAGCTTCCAGACTCACTTCAGCTTCAACGATTTCAAGAGAAAACCTAACCCGAGGTCCCATGTGAACCGCATATCTCAGCTGGGAGGAAGGACGAAAACCGCCACGGGAATCCTCAGAGTAGTGTGAGTCGCCACCTCTTTGCTTCCGGAGACGGAGACGATGGTGCTTTCAGCCAGACGGTGAAGGGCCAGAGAGCTACTCAGACAGGGACGGGTGACGGATTTTCCAGAGGGCGAAACTGTTTGAAGAACGTTCATGTAGACACAGGCTGCAGTTAAAACCAACAGTTTAGAGAGGCAGCAAGAACACGGCTGGAAAGATGGGTTGAGCCTATTCTGGGTATGTGGCCTCGGGCAGAGTGCTGGCCTAATGGATGGAAGCCGCTGGGATGGACCCTCAACACCGTAAGAAACAACCAACCAACCAAACCAAACCGAAACAACAAAAAGACGAAATAAAAACAGGCTAAATCCATGTCCTCACCAAATGCAACTTCCTAGTCAGTGTGGCTGACTGTCCCACGGCAGGTTTTAAGCAGGAGGCAGACATTCTGTCTTTTTTGTTTCTAAGATGGCTCTGCTTTTGGTTTGTGTACTGAGGGGAGTGTGGGGTTGGACAGAGCGTAAGAAGATGAGGTGCAGGAGCCATAGGTCAGTTAATAAAGGGCTTGCAATGCAAACCTTAGACCCGAGTTCCATCCCCAGAACCCATGTAGAAAAGCTAGACTCAGTGGCAGTTCACTTGGAATCCTAATGCCAGGGGGGGAGGCACAGAGAGGAGGGTCCCTGGAGCTTGAAGCGCCAGGACAGTGAGAGACCCTGCCTCAGAACAAGGTGGGCAGCTCTTGTTTGTTTTTTCACTACTCTTTACTCTTTGGTGGGTGGAAGGGGGAGTCTTCTACCCAGCTCCCAAATGAATCACACACCGAGTCTTATTCTTACTTATAAATGCCCGGCCTTAGCTTGGCTTGTTTCTAGCCAGCTTTTTTTTTTTTTTTTTAAACTTAAATCATCCCATCTACCTTTTGCCTCTGGGCTTTTACCTTTCCCTATTTCTGTATATCTTTTCTTTGCTTCTTACTCCGTGGCTTGCTGTATAGCTGGGTGGATGGCCCCTGATGTCCTCCTCCTTCTTTTCTCATTCCTTCTTCCTCTTTTTCTCCTACTTGTTCTCTCTGCTTGCTAGCCCCACCTATCCCTTCTCCTGCCCATCTATTGGCCATTCAGCTCTTTATTAGACCAATCAGGTGTTTTAGACAGGCACAGTAACACAGCTTCACAGAGTTAAACAAACACAACATAAAAGAATGCAATACATCTTTGCATTATTAAACAAATATTCCACAGCATAAACAAATGTAACACATCTTAAATTAATATCCACAATAGACAGCTGCTGAGGTATGATATTTTGCCCCATCCCACTTTCTCCCCACAACACATGTGTAGGAAAATGAAGTAGAAAGCTTGAATAGTATTCTAGATAAGATTTAATGATGGACTGGAGAGGTTTTATTTCTTTACATTTTTCTATATTTAACAGTTATGAGGAGCCTGCATGTGGTAGTGCATGCCTGTTATTCAGGAGATAGAGTCAGGGGGATCACCAATTTGAGACCCAGCCAGACTCTGTGTTCAAAACATAAAAACAAAAACAGTCAAACTCAGGAGGAGACAGCCCTTGACAGACAGAGCTCAGCTGTACCTGTGATTGGGACTTTGTTGCTGTTTCATGCCGGATGCTAACAACATCTCTGTCTATTTGTGTTTCTGCCATTCTCTTCTCTGCACAGAAGAGAACTGTTTCAGAAAACTAGTGGGGCCCGGGAGAATGCTGCGAAGATCCTAGTTGTCATCACAGATGGAGAAAAATTCGGTGATTCCTTGGATTATGAGGATGTCATCCCTGAGGCAGACAAAGCAGGGATCATTCGCTATGTCATTGGGGTAGGAAATGTAGATATTGGGCCTGGTACTTCTCTGGAGATTGTCTACTGATGTGTCCTGTCTTCAATTTGCAAATATTGGTAAAATGAAAAGGAGGCAAAGGCCTTTGCTGGGCCATGCACACTGCTAGCTCATATCTACACACCACAATAATACTGTATATATAACAAATGATCCCAAATTCAGTGGCTCAACACTTTTGGTTTTGAGCCTAGCCTTTAATGGCTGGGCCATCTCTCCAGCCCTCAGTAGCTTAATATAAGTCAGCTTGTAATTTGGCCAGATTGTTTTCCTGGTCTCAGCAAGGCTCACATATCTGCCGTTAGCTGCAGGCTGGTGGGCAGATCTGCCGACCTTGCCTTTGCTGGATCCACTTCTGGATGACAGTTATGCTTGTCTGCTGGGCAGACAGCCTTGCTGGGGACAAGTTGGTAATTTGGCTCTACTACTCACTAGATCTCATTCTCCGGTGGCCTCCCCCGGGGATGCCCTCATGAAAAAGGCAGAGGAGAAAGGAGGCAGATGTTGCAGGTGCTTTTGACTAGCTTCTGTTAGCATCACATTTGGTACCAATCATGGGCTGATGCAGAGACAGTGAGCTGGGCAGGATTGTCCATGAGTGGGTGGGTGGGTGTGGCAAAATTTGGGAAAAGGGCTTGGGTACAGAAAGAGGTAAAGTGTGAGGGTCACCAGTGCCACCGCACTTGTGTGCCACCTTGTATGACATAGAGAAAGGTATGAACTCATAGAACGGTGTGTAAGAAGAACCTCCACCCATCACAGGGATTCTCTCGGGGCTGGAAAGATGGCTCAGTAAGAGTACTTACTGTTTATCTGGAGGGCCAGCCCTCGGGGCAGGTGCTCAGGACAGCTTGCAACTCCAGCTCCAAGGGATCTGACGCCCCTGGCCTCCAGTCCACATGCACGTGGACCCACACAAAGACACATGCACACACACACACACACACACACACACACACACACACACACACGCGCGCTCGGGGTGGAGGGGAGAATTAAAAGCAAAATAATTTTAAAAAGGATTCTCTTTTGCTGGGGATGTCAGGCCCCTACCAGAAGGAATGGTATAACAAATGGGTGACGATCTGCACACCAAATTGCTCCCTGTGGTGCGCAAACCTGACTAACTGTCCCCAGCAGCCCTGTTCTAAGTGCCTTCCGGTGAACTCTTTATTTGACAGAAGTTTCAGATTCCTTTGTTCAGAATTTTCTTTGCTAGATGCTGCTGTTACCATCAGAGAATACATAGTCTAGCTTCTGCTCTTTGGAAACAGGTGGGAAATGCCTTCAGCAGTATGAAATCCCGCCAAGAGCTTGATACCATTGCGTCTAAGCCAGCTAATGATCACGTGTTTCAAGTGAACAACTTTGAAGCTCTGAAGACCATCCAGAACCAGCTTCAGGAAAAGATCTTTGCCATTGAGGGTGAGTCAGCCCAGTGCAGACCAGCAGTTCCTACTTCTGGGGTAGCATTCCCACCCCACCTCCAGCTCTTCCCCTGCCACTCGGGTCTGACTTGCTCCCTTCCTTTGAAAGAAGCAAAGCTAGATTTTTGTCTCTAATTATCAAATCTAGGCTATAGGAAGATTAAACTGTAGCACGGTGGATTCAAATCCTACACAATAATTTTCCAAAAATGTGTATGTGCTGTGAGCCCTGATTTCCTGGCATGGCTCCTCTGCCTCGAAGAGTGTGTGGCACATAGAAAGTGTCTAATAAATATTTATCAAGTACATTTACAAATTAGAGATTTTTTTTTTTTGAGGGACACGTTTTGGAGGTAGAGTCTCATCTTGTAGCCTATGATGAGCTTAAGCTCTTGGTAACCTCTTGCCTCGGCCTCTTTGTGTGTGCTACAACGCCTGACCACCTTAGGGCATTTCACTATCATCTGGATGACTGGCTTCTGTGGGAAAGTTGGGAGGTTAGATACCTTGAGCACACTCTTCTTCCTTGAGAAAAGGAAGGTCCCTGAAGGCCTGCCATCCCCATAAGGTGCCTGTGTTCAACATGGGAGCCTCCCTTTGTCTGGCAGTGATAGCATTTGAGGTTTTGGGTATTTGGTCCACGCTTTTCTGCTTGCTTAATTTAATGCAGAGCATTCTCTTCCTTGTAGGCACGCAGACAGGAAGCTCCAGCTCTTTTGAGCATGAGATGTCTCAAGAAGGCTTCAGTGCCGCCATCACCTCTGTGAGTGGTTTAAACTGGGGGTGAAGATGGGGCACGAAAAGCAAGGAGAGGCCCAAGGGTTGGGGGGCTTCTCTCTGCGGCAGCTTCTCACGGGGAGGCTGTCTGACAGGCATCACGGGCCCTTTCTCTCCCCGCTCTCAGTCCTGTTGTGCTCCCATCCCCAGAGTGGTCCCTTGCTGGGCACCGTGGGGAGCTTTGACTGGGCAGGTGGAGCCTTTCTGTACACCCCGGAGAATAAAGCCACCTTCATCAACACAACCCGAGTGGATTCAGACATGAATGACGCTTACTTGGGTAAGTGAGGAGGGCAGGAGTTGCTCTAGGAAGGGGTCAAGATGTGATGTCACTCAGCTGACATGGATGCTGTTGGCTCTTCTGTTGGCCCTTGGGACAGCTGTAAGGATGAAAAAAAAATCTAAATTTAAGTTTGGTTATGTTCATAGTAGTTAGCCCAACACATCAGGCATAGGGCTGCTCTATTGCCCTACTTGAGACTGGGCCTGCATTGTGGAAAGGAGGGCCAGATCTTCGATGGAAAACACTTTGCCTATTGAAAGCATTCTTTTTAGGTTATGCTTCTGCAGTCATCTCGAGGAGCCGGGTCCAAAGCTTGGTTTTAGGGGCACCTCGATATCAGCACACTGGCCTGGTGGTGATGTTCAGACAGAATTTCGGTGCCTGGGAGCCCCACGCTGATATCAAGGGCAGCCAGGTAAATACAGAGTGTGTGAAGCATAGACATGCAGAGGCGCCTAGGAACTGAGATTCTAGGGTAGACCAATGGCATGTGTGGCAGTCTTTGGAGAGCTCTATGTTAGAGAGGCCCAGGTCAGCTTTGCATCTGAGAATGTCCTGCCTTTGGCTTTTCTTTCTTGTGTTGTGGTACTGGGGTTTGAACCCATGGCCAGGCAAGTGCTTTACCGAGAGGCCCAGGTCAGGTTTGCATCTGAGAATGTCCTGCCTTTGGCTTTTCTTTCTTGTGTTGTGGTACTGGGGTTTGAACCCAGGGCCAGGCAAGTGCTTTACTGAGCTGTATCCCCAGTCCTACCCTCAGCATTTCCAGCAATGACTAGTAATTATGTGACTAGTAATTATAGTAAATATGTGACCTGCATAGAGTTTTCTATACTTCTTGTTTTTTGAGCTGCCATCCAGTCAAGACATAACCAATACAGCGACATTAGGTATTAAAATACTGAAAGCATTCCATGTCTGTTGATGGGCTAGGGTGATAACTGAGACATGAATTTGATGCCCAGAACCCATATAAAAAAAACTGGGCATGGTGGCATGCTTGTGAACCCAGAGCTGGCAAGGTGGAGACAGGGGCATCTCCTGGGGTTCCCTGGCCAGCCAGCATACCCTGCTTGGTGAGCTCCAGGCCAATGAGAGACTGTATCAATAAACAAGGTAGGCAGTTGCTGAAGAATGGCTTTACCAGGCTTTTCCTTTGGGGCCACCAACCAGCTCCCAAATCATGACACAGACTTCTTGTTAGTTATGAAGGCTTGGCCTGGCTTAGGCTCTTTTCAGGCCAGGTCTTTTAACTTAAGTTAACCTGTTTCTCTTTATCTACCTTCTGCCTCGGGGCTTTGACTCTTCTTTCCTTCTGTGTATCTTACTTCCACTGCTTCTCAAGTCTGCTGGCTGGAGGCCGCCTGGCTTCTGGCCCCCAGTGTCTCCCTTGTTCTCTCCTCGTCCTTCTCTCGTCTCTCCCTTTGAGCCTAGATCTCTTCTCCTCTTTATCCTCTCTGTCCACCAGCCCTTGCCTATCCTTTCTCTGCCTACCTATTGGCCATCCAGCACTTTATTAGACCAATCAGGTGCCTTAGGCAGGCAAGGTGAAACAAATGCAACACATCTTTTTATAATTAAACAAATGCAGCATAAACAAGTTTAACACATCTTTACATTGTTAAACAAATATAGCATAAGCAAATGCAACACACCTTTACACAGTTAAAGTAATGTTCTGCAGCATAAACAAATGTAACATCTTGTATAAGATTAGAGGGACCAGCTTTAATATTATACATCCCAGGGGCTCAGGAGAGAAACTACAAATGGGGAGGACTATTTTCGGGAAATAGAATCTCAGCACACTGAGCTCTATAGTCCACTTGCTTTAATTTCTCTGGGATAACATACACAGCTTCAGTTCTGTTCTCCTGCCTAGCTCCTTTCTTGCCTGATTTCTCTCTACCTTTATCTACTGCTCCCTCCAAGTTCTATCTTAATTCTCTCATCTTAATTCTGCCTCGTCTAGGTCCTTTTCACCCATTCTTACCCAGCTCGGACTTCCCCATCTGACTCTTCCTCATCTTCCATCTCGTCCTCACATACTCTCTGGTCAAAATCCTCCTTATCCCTCTCCGTTCTCCATCTCTAAGTCCTCCCCAAGTCTCTCAGGAGTCCAGTTATAAACCCAGGCAATAGCAAGCTCCTGGTCAAGCAAGGTCACCAGGCTTGAATTCTACGTGGTCATAAAGGCAGGTAAGAATTGTCTTCAGGCAGTGACCACCAGGCTTCCAGGGTCAAATGGAGGGATGATAAGAATCACATAGAGGGGCAGTAATTGTTAATTATCATTTGCAACCCAAAAGGGAAGTGACCAGTGGGGAAATGAATTAACTAAAGGCTAAATTCGGGTAATATCTAAGAAGAGGGATCTTATGTGCTCCACTCTAGTCTTAAACATGATTGGTAGAAAATGTTAAGAATCTATAAGTTGCTAGGTCAATGGGAGAAAATAAAACTGCCTTCTTTTTTTTTTTTTTTTCCTGTGGCTCCTATCTGTCCAAGCTATCTGCTGTTTTTCTGCAGGGTTGGGGAAAGTGTGCTTGGTTGCTAGGCAACCTGTGTTCAGCTAGATGCCTCTAGTGATAGTTAAAGGGAGATCTGGAACTAGAGGAAAGATTTGGGAAAGGAGGAAGTTAAGCTTAATTGGCACATCCGCCAGACCTTCTCAAACAGGTAGTCTGGATGTTATGCCCAAATCACCCCCAGAGAGACCACCAAAGGCCAAGGATGTCCAGAATGCAACAGCAAGGTTTATTGTAGGTGCTGCACAGTACAAGCCTGGCAGGGAACTCGTCTCAAGCACTCACTCATCACAGCACAGCGAGGCAGGGAGGAGTTCCCTTTCTTTGTGAGGCTTGCTTTTTAAAGGCAAAAGCCAGCAGTCCCTCTAGGTTGTGGGGGAGTTAGTACAGGTACAATTCTAATTGGCTAAATCTTCCTGAGCCTCTGGGTTATCTTATTTATTTATTTATTTATTTATTTATTTATTTATTTATTTATTGTTTGTTTGTTTGTTTGTCCATTTGCTTTGTTAGAACTTTTACAGCCTGTCTCTGGAGTTGAGATGTGCCATCCTGTGGTTAATCAGTCACTGTGAAATGGCCTGGCTTTTGTCCAGCATTTGGGGCACTCTTTTGTTAATTAGTTGTTACCAGATGGCTCTTCCTGACTTTGTACTTTTAAGTTCCTGGGGCTGGTGCCCTCATTTCTGGGACCTTGAAACTGGCCTGGGTCTATCTATATTAAGTTATCTTTGTCTAAGCCTCCTTCTTCATCTTAGAGAATAGAATGAGGGTCTTACATAGATGCTTAAGTCTGTTCTTAGAGAGTACAGAGGTATCTCTGATAAGTTACTTTCCTCCATCTGGGGATGGACCTGGCCGGATGCTGCCAATGACGATAATTACAGGGAGGCTTGAACTGGGGTTCTGGCTGAGCATAGCTGTCAGCGCAGAAGGTTATCTAAATGTTTCTAGAAGTGGTTAGGTAAGGAGTTAGAGGTCTATAAAGTTAGTAAGGCTGTAAGAAAGGAGGGTCTGAGCTAAATTGTGTAAAGCTATTACTTACCATCCACCTGACCTAGGCAGTGTCTCCTTGTGAAATTTACCTTAAATCAAAAGACTTGCATGTGGACTGTTATTACTGTTAGTCCTTGAAAGTGGCTAAGGGAGATATCTGATTCCAGAGGAAGCCTTTCCTGAGGCTGTTCTCCAAATACCTTGAATGTGTATGTCCAGAGAGTGATCAATCCACACTGTTAGCCCTTCTTAGGGAAAAATCAATTGGGAAAACTATGAAGGCACACATGATTTTCATAACAGAAGACAGCCGATGTATAACAAGCCAAGTAACACCAGAAACTCCTTGGAATTTGGCTTCCTCTGAAGGAATTCCCTGATCCCTCCAGGTAGTGACTTTGCCATAACCAGCTGAGTTCTTATATATCCCTGCGGCCCTCAGCAGTAACATATCATTGCTTAGTTAAAACAATATTCCTCAACAAATGACCCCTGAGGTTGCCCTCTGGCTTGCACACACACACACACACACACACACACACACACACACACACACACACGCCCCCATACACATTAAAATACTGAAATAATTCCGTATCTGTTGATAACTGGCTGTGGCTCTAAGATGCCTCAGATGGACCAAGTGATGTCAGAGTTCGTGGGGAAATGTAGGAGACCCAGAATAACCAAAACAGTCTTGAAGAAGGAGACCACTTCCCAATCCCAAATTTACAAGACCAGGTATGGTAGTGCATGCAGAAAATCTTAGTATGTGAGAGGATGAGGCAGGAGGATTGCATGTTTGAGGTCAGATTAGGCTACATAGTGAGTTCTCGGCTAACTTTGGCTATATTGTTTGAGACTCAGCCTCAAAACCTCAAATAAAACAACAGCAAAACCAATTACACACCTCCAGTGCACAAGCAGATAAAGATGAAAAGCAGGTTAATTGTCACCAGTGGATGAAGTGGGGGGGGGGGGACGCTGGGAATGACTATCCAACGTAAGGTTTCTTTCCGGGGACAGTGTTCCAGCCTTGGAGCCGATGGTTACAAAACATAAACATACTAAACACTACTAAGTTTTGAACTTTAAAACAGAGAATTTATATTATGTAAACCATTTTGAAAAAACTCAATGTAATTCGTCATAACAACAGAGTATAAGAGATGTATAGTCACCTTAGCAGATACAGAAATAGAACCTGGCTGACTCTGACATCTTTTCACAGTTGAAAACCCAGTGAGTTGGGGGCCAAGGGGTGTGTCCTTAACTTGAAAGGGTCCTTTACAAAGTCTCCAGCATGCCTTGTGCTTAAAAGTGGAGGAGAATGTTTCGTCTTAAAACTGTAAATAGCCGGGCGGTGGTGGCACACGCCTTTAATCCCAGCACTTGGGAGGCAGAGGCAGGCAGATCTTTGTGAGTTCGAGGCCATTCTGGTCTGCAGAGTAAGATCTAGGAAAGGTGCAAAGCTACACAGAGAAACCGTGTCTCAAGAAACCAAAAAAGAAGAAAAAAACTGTAAATAAGGTGACGACTACTCTTACTATTTTTTTAAGTACACAAGTGTATTGTTGAGCTATTTATGGAATTAAAATCATATTCCTCACATCAGTGCCCAGAGGCTTGCAGCTTAGTTGATTTTAGGTCTAGTCAAGTTGACAACTGAGGTCAGTCATCACATCATCTATTTTTGTTTTTGTTGTCTGCATTTTGGGATCTAATAAAGAAACCTAGCCCTGCTCATATCAAGGTCCTAAGTGTTCCTTTATGTTTTCTTCTAGTAATTTCCTAGTTTAGGCATTACATGTAGATCTTCAGTACATTTAGAATTAACTGGGGCAGGGGTCTAGTTCCATTCTTCTGCACATAGTTTCTCAAGTGATAACATTTA